AACTGGTTTATTCACAGATTTTTTTTCTCCTTCTTCTGTTCAGTTGTGCCCAATTCTTGAAAACTGCGTAGGCAATTCCCTGCAATTTCCTTGGCAAGGTTTTTCTGAAGTGGTTTGCCATTGTTTCCTTCCTAGGCTTAGAGAAACTCATCTATCCATCTGTTTTTGTGCATAAAGTGGGACTAGAACTCAATGTCTCTTGGTTTTTAGTCTAATGTCTTAACCACTACCCCAAACTGGCTTCACAGATACAGCCACAAATATGTTCACAGATACACTGTTAAATAAAGCAGGTCTTTGCATCCTGTTTAATCCCAACAGAGAGATCTGCACATTTTCAACCAATTTTAGGCAACTTTTGTTTAGACCTTACAGAAATTCAATCAATTACTAATTGTTAATTTTCAAGTATGATTCATAAAGCAAAACTGGAGTCTAGATGCAAAACATTCTTTAGCTGCTTTGAAATAAGATGCAGCAATCAATACTTCAAGTATTCAGTTTTCAATATGGAATTTTCCAGTGCTGGGTAGCAGCTGTACGTGAGCCACGGAATCATAGAACTGTACAGTTGGAAGCCACTAGAAGGAACTTCTAATCCAACCCTCTGCAATTAAACCATGCATGGTGGCTGTCTTGCTTTTCTGAAAAACCTGGAGAGATGGAAAGCCCACAACCACCTTAGGTAGACTGTGCTACTATTGTATAGCTCTTGCCATCCCAGTTATTTTCCTCCAGTTTAAATGAGATCTTGTTAGTTGCCTGTGGTCTAGTAGTTATCTGTGGTCTTTCTGGTCATGTTAGATGTCCAAATGGAACCTTTGTAGCATTGAAGTCTCCACCCTTTAGGCAAGGTCTGCATTCAGTCTCTGCTATTTACAGTGTGTGTTGGATCAGCTCTGTTGGAGACATTGACAAATCAGATTGTAATTATTTGCAACGTTTCCCCCACACACACACACTAAAAGATGAGGGTTCTGAACTATGTGCACTATAGTCGGTTGCTGTTTTACCTCCACACTGAATATAACTTCCTGAGCATTGTCACCCAGTAATATAAATGGCACAGCCAGACTTGCAGATGGTGTTTTGGTTCCAAAAGTAAATTCTGCCCACATTGCATTCAGTGGTTCCCAGATCAATGGGTCCAGCATTTGCAGCCCGGCCTGTTTTGCCTTTCCCAAAAAAACTGGGATTAGCCGGCTGAGACTCTTAGAGAGCAGATTATTATTATTATTTTATTTTAATGGGATGGCTTCCAATCAGCAGCTCCGGACTTTGCCATTGGAGGAGAAGTGGCTAATCCGGTCCGAGGGAAAGAAAATGGCAAAGCTCGCCCGCGCTCCCCTGTGCGCCTTCTCCACCCCTTTTCTGCAAGCCTCTGCAAACGCCGCGGCGGGCGCGCGGGGGAAACGGCGGCGGAGCAGAGCGAACCAGTAGAGTTGCTGCCGCCGCCGCCGCCGCGCTGCCCTGCAAATCAAACTCCCATGCAAAGAAGGAGACCCTCTCGACCCACTCACCTCCTGGGCGTTCGCTCTCCCACGAAGGTGGAAACGTGGCTTCTTTTGGTGGGGAACTTTGGGAAGGGCGCGCAGAGTATATAGGGGCTGTTGTCATCTAGAGATGCCGCTTGATGTTGCTTAAATAGTCTAAGCCTCCCCCTGGCCAGATTGTTTGGAATGGGGAGGTTGGGCTCTTCGAAGACCAGCTCTTAATTCGGAGCAAGAGCAAGAAGGGAAAGGGGGAAAAAAAAAAAAAAAAACGCCGAGTCTGTGCGCGAGACAGAAAGAGACCCAAGGGGAGAAAAACGCCCAGCAAGGGCACCCAGGTCCTCTTGACCAAGGGGCTTTGCCCTGGGTTTGGATGCCTTTTTAGGCGGACCAGTCGGTCGGGCTCTGTCCGCGGTCTGCAAACCGGCGAGTCGAGGCGAAAGGCTTCGAAGCGAATCGGCGAGGACGCCGCCAACTCCGCGGGCGAAACAGGGTCTTGCTGAAGGCTCCAGCAAGAGGATTAGTCCCGGGTAGAGCGGGGATGTAAATTTCTCAGAACGATGTTGGTCGGTGGGGGTTAGGGGTTTTTGTCCCCCTTTTTCCCCCTCTCCTACTCAAGGGAATCAGACTGAGCATCAGGTTTTAGCGATGTATCGAAGCCTATGCAGATATTGTTTCTTCGGAAAGAAATCCCCTTAAATTTACTCTGGTCAAGGCACATGAGATAGTAGGTTGGGTTTTGCTCTTCCCATCTTCCTCGAGAACTAATGTGCCTTTTTTGTCCCATTCCTCCTTCCTTTTTTCCCCTCCCTCCTCTTCTTTTGGAAAGATATGGAAGATCAAGATACAGAGCTTACTGCTGGATTCTGACTCCTGGGCAGTCTGTTTGCCTTACTCTACCCTCTTGGTTTCCAAGTCCTCCAGACCCTCAGTTTGTCAAAAAGAAAAAAAAAATCAGAAAAAGTGTGCAGGAGGAAAGAAAAATGAAACTTTTGGGAACAAGATTACAGGTAAGAAATTCTTGCTCTTGTTTCTGTCTTTGCCATAATCTGGTAATTATATTTCATTGAATGGTTGGAGATTTCTGTAAAGGTTTTTTTTGGGGGGGGGAGAGAAGGGGAGTGTCTTCTGTTTTCAAATTCATGAGGACCAGAAGATTGACTTTACATATATCTCCTGTTTCAATTATAGGATTGAATCAGGAACATGATGTGAAAAACCCATGTGTCTCCCTACCCCTTTGAGACTTCTTAAAATTATCCTTAATGAAAACAGACTGGAAGAAAGGGGTTTTGCAGCAATTACAAAAAAAAAACTTAAAGATTTATTGTAGCATACACTTTGTGACCAGAGTTCACTTTGTCAGAATTAAAACAACAACAAAGACAGGACTCATTAAAAAAATAGATGACATACACTTTCAAGGATGAATACAAAGATTACAGGGCCTAAAATAAATGAAGGAAAAGTTGGAGCAGAGATTGCCAGAAGTATAAAACACAATCCTGATGATATGAAATACTTAATGTGTGAATGTTAGTATCTAAACCCCATCTACACATACTTGGAGATAAACGCATTTGAGTGAGATTTACTTCCAAAAAGTCCAGTATAAGACTGCAATTTTAAAAGAACTTCATTTTAACCACAAGGTAGAGAATTTGGTATTCTTGTGGATAGCACAAGATAGTGGGAAGGACATGCATTTAGTTCTAAAATTCCTATAGTCAATCACCAAAAGTGTAACATGTGAAATTTGTAAGAATCCCAAAAACAGCAGGAGTGGAAAATATTCCTTCTTTCCTGAAAAATCACCTCCAGGTAAAGGACTTTGACAGATATCACATCTTCATAGAATCTTGGGATGTAAGATTTAGAAGTAAACTTGGAGATCATCTAGGTGCCCAATGCAAGAATCCATATCTCAGACAGGTGGTGGCTATCTAGCTTTGTGGACCATCAATCCACAAAACATCTTTTCAATTATTGAACAGAACAGAAATTGTTGGTAATCCTAACCTCTGCATGATGACACTTCTTATACTAGAAGGCAGATATTATATTTCCTTCTCATCTTTTTCAGAATAAATATTCCCAATATCTCCATTTGTCCTCCATGTTTCTAGACCCTTTTCTTATCTTGGCCAGTCTTCTCTGGAGAAGATTGATGCATTCCAGTTTTCAATGTCCTTCCTAAAATGCCATGCCCAGAACTGGATGCAACATTCTAGATGTGGTCTGATAAACAAGAATCCAAAACTGGATGCAATATTCTAAATGTGGTCTGATAAACAAGAAACCAGAACTGGATGCAATATTCTAGATGTGGTCTAATAAACAAGAATCCAGAACTGGATACAGTATTCTAGATGTGGTCTAATAAACAAGAATCCAGAACTGGATGCAGTATTCTAGATGTGGTCTGACAAACAAAAATGGAAAAGAATAGTGACCACAACCTAGTGCTCTGTGGATCTATCAGCTTTTAGTGATGGAATTTGTAGGACAGCTGATGGGGCACATTCTGAAATAATTTTGGAAGTTCATATATTCACATTGGGTAAGCCGAATATAATGTAAGATTGAGTGTGTACAGTTATACACATTTTCTTAAAAAATGACAACCATATTTTTTAATATTTTTTATGTTGCTTTGTTTTGTTGTCCTGCTCATTCTATAGCCATTCTGTTTACAATAACTTTTTAAAAAATATTCCCTGTTGAATTTCCCTATGAAGAAAACATCAAACTGAATGAAAATTAAAAAAAAAAAAAAACAGCAATGGTGATAAAAAGGAAATAACTTGTGTAAGGAGAGAAGGAACCCAGCAATATGTAATTGCAAAGGCCAAGGAGATCCAGACTACTACATAAATGACCTTGTTCCTGAATGTATGACTCACACTTTGTGATGAGTATGGAAATGTAGCTAATTGTGGTGTCCAGCACTTGCATATATTTAAATCTTAAGTGTGCCATCTATATGGATTGCATCTTAATTCCTATCAATCCATGTTGAAATGTTGTGACATAATAATTAATTATTGGCATCCAACTAAATTTGGGGAGAAATTAACAGGTGGTGCCATCCTACGTTCCTTACCTTAAAAGTATACAATTAGTAATGGAACAAAAAGATCTTCATAGTAGGTTGGGAAAGTCATTGAAATGCATCTGTTAACTGATTGAAAAAAAAAAAGCAGCAACAAGCAAAGGAAATTGCAATTAAGAGATGGTAGATAAAGCTGAGACTTAGCTGTAGTAGTAAATTGCTCTTGAGCTGAGCTTGATGCTTGGTGAGGGCATAATCCATATTGTTTTCTTGCTACAATATGGGAGTGGTTTACTCTTCCTTTCTTTCAGGATGTTTTTTCCAACTTTCCAGTTTAGCTGAGAGTTCTTGGGATCTCTCATAAAACAGACTGTTATTGAATAATTGGTCTTCTTTCTTTCTTTCTTTCTTTCTTTCTTTCTTTCTTTCTTTCTTTCTTTCTTTCTTTCTTTCTTTCTTTCTTTCTTTCTCCCATCTAAGGACATGACTGAGATTTTTAAGAAGAATGTGTTATTCTTCTTTCTTGACCTCACTATCCTAATTTCATTTCCCCCTGCAGTTTTCAGTACTGATTGTTTAGATAGAAATTTTCCTTGCTGAAATCTATACGAAGCAAAGATTGTGGGTTATCTTTAGATGTGAGTTGCTTACAAACTCCCAGTAGCTACTTGAGAGTAAAGGTGCCCATGATTATGAGCTGCAATCTATCAGTGAAGAAGAGTCATTTTAGGACATATCACTGAATACATAGCAGGAGAAAAGAGATGTGGGATTAAGCAGCTCATTAGAGCAATATGACATGTTCCAAATTTCACTTGATTTAACTTCAGATTTTGCTTGCATTATAAGGAAACTATATATATTTCTGAATTCTTTCAGCTGCTAGCTGCTGAGTTATGCTAGGGGGGGCAGATCAATTTTCATTTTCCATTTCCTTTATTTAAAAAAGGAAATGAAGAGCAACTTTTGAGCCCAGAGTGTAATTTGATTCCACCATGTACATAACATTGAGATTATTTAAAGATAACTGATGAAAACCTGAGTTCCTAATTTTGTCTCCTTTAACAGATCACGGAGAAGTAGGGCTACTTTGGATGAAAAGAGTTTTTATCCTTTGGTATAAAATGGTCATTACCATTATCTTAAGTGAGATTTGGGGAAAGTTAAAATTAATTCAAGCAAGACTTTAAAACCAATGCACTGTTTTCCAGCAAATTGGTCAGCAGGTCTGCATAGCAATAGAATGGAGAACAAAACTGGAATGTGAGCTTGTGTCTTGCTTTCAACAATTAAGAGAGTATATGTGTGTGTGAGAGAAGGAGAGACAAAGACTGTATCTTCAAGCTGCGCAACTGATCTGTCCTTTGTAGCAGACAGATTGGGATTAAGAGGTCACACAAAATATTCCAGCATGTATCTAACGATAATAATAGAGATGGACCATATCTCAGGACAGAAGCCATGCTGTGCTTCCATAGAGTTCAAGGTTCAAGTCCTAGCATCTACAGCTTTTTAAAAAAATAATAATAATGAGTATCAAGGGCTCTGGCAAAGGCTTCCACCAGAAGACATGCAAATTGCTGCTAGACAGTTGGCAAACTAAACTAAACTGAAGAATAATTTGATCTGGTAAAAAAAAATCTTTATGCATAATTTACAGATTAGAAAAGGAGAGCTTGTCAACATCTGCATTTAGATGTCTTAGCCAATCTTATACAGATCTAACGGCAGGGATAGTGGAAGACACATTTGTGACCAAATGTTTCCTCACAACTTGGTTTATGGTTCCTTATCTGCTCTTTAGTATTTAGTTTTCGACCCTTGTTTTTGTTATTTATTCTGTTGTATTGAGAAAGATCCTGTTCAGCTACAAAGGCTTTTCAGTCTTCATGGGATGGAAAATCTGAGACAAATGAACCAAGTGGGTGCAATCTAGCTTGATGTCCTCCCTTCTTCTTTTTTTATTAAAAGTTTTATAAATTTATTACAATATAAACCCCCCCACCCCTTCCCCCCTCCCCCCACTTCCCAGAGCTGATAACAGGGTAAAACAAAAGAATAAACAAATATAATCCAACTAACATAAACCAACTATACTATCAATCAAAACCATAAGACACTTTAATTCCTTATCAATACAAATATTAACAAATTAAGTCAAAAATAATAATATAATTAAAGCTATTAATAATTATCTAAAATCTACTCAAAAGCAAGATAATACTTTTCAATTTCATATTTCTTCTGAATATAATCAATCCATCTTCTCCAAACCATAATATATCTTCCTTGTGAATGGTCCTTCAAATAGGCGGAGATCTTCGCCATATCTGCTAAATTAGACACTTTAAGTATCCATTCTTCCAAAGTAGGCAATAAATTTTTCTTCCAATATTGCCCCACCAATAATCTTGCTATGTCCTCCCTTCTTCTCACTGCAGCTTGCGGCTGATATTTGAAGGGTTCCCGATGTGTTTTTCAACGTCTGTGGCTGCTATTGATGTTCTTCTGCACTCACTATTTTTTAAATAGCTCTACAAAATTTTCTACTATCCTGCCCTGAACCAGGGTCAACATTTCAAATCCCAGGAAATTTCTGCCAGTGAAATATTGTGTCCTGCTTCAAATCTGTACAGCCAAAACCAACCAACCAACCAACCAATCAGCAATAGCAGTGGCGGCAACAACAATAACAAAAACTTTAGTTTATTTTTGTGGTGTTTTGGGGAAACATCTTGTTCCAAATGCCAAAGGATCCCTCTGTTCTCTGTGTTGGAGGAAGGAGTGGCTGATTCCTTTAATAATAATAGTAATAAGAAAGAATATTCTTCAACTTAGCAAACAAGTTTTATTTATCCATTGTTCATCATCAGGAAGGCTGATTCCTATTAAGATGCTTCTAGGGTTCTGGTGGGGGTTACCCTCAAATTAAATACTGCTTGGAACTCCCACACATTT